CCCCATCTTTTGATTTCTTGACTGCTGATACCATGAGTGTTTGTTGCGGGTCCGAGTAAAATGAAATTGACGTGTAGGTTAGTCAAGTGCAAACCAGGTGCACCACCCAGAGAGCTGGTCGTCATATGGTATAAAGGCGTAGTCAGTGCCTGAAATGATGTCCTTTCTGCTGTTTTGCAGTTTGGGACAGTGTTCCATCACTGCTGATGGCTGTCAATACATCGCCTCAGTCCTCACCAGCAAACCAAATATGAAGAATCTGGAAATCGGGCACAACAAAATACAAGATGAAGGTGTGAAGCTGCTGTGCGACGCTCTAGCCAATCCCAGGTGTCAATTAGAGAGCATCAAGTGGGTATCCTTGGGGATGGGGCGGAGCCGTTGTGGGGGGCAGGAAGTGGAGAACTAATAGGCATTCCTTCACAGAGATCTGAACATGCTGTCGATGCATCATGTCAGCACACTCTCCGGACAGACACGGAGCAGGCTGGGCATCGCCAAACACCAAGATGAAGCTAGCTGCCTTGTGGTTAATTCTGACTGGGTCCAAATCACCAATCTTTTGGCTAATAGTTGTACTCTTGACTATCGGTACCACCCAGATATTTCTTGTAGCATAAAAAGCCACTCCACGATGTTTACCCTCTGTTGTCAGGTCAACTCAGAGCCGCCCTGTGAAAGAGTGAAAAGCTCCAGAGGGTCTCCATCCTCTAACCTTGATGAAGGAGCCTTGGTGCCATAGTGGCTTAAGCGTCAGGCTATTAACCAAAAGGCCTGCGGTTGGACCACAGAGGAAGTCAAGGCTGTTAGGATTTACAGCCCACATGGAGAGCTGCTTCTTCCTCTAGGGTTGCAGTGAGTCAGAATCAACTTGGTGGTGGTTGATTTTGATCTTTATGGAAGCCAACTGCCACGTCGTTCTACCGTGGATGAGCTGGATGTGTTTGAAATGCCAACCTTTCAGTTAGTGGCCAAGAACTTTAACCCCTGCATCATCAAGGCTCCTGAGAGAGGGGAAAACACTGTAATGTGATGTTTTATGGGATCACATTGGGACAGTCAAGAATGCACAGTCGTGTTTATTTTAAAATCTGAAACAGTGCAAGATTCCAGTGCCGTCAACATTGAATTAGAAAATGCTGACGAGCCTGATTGCAATTGGCTGTTAACCTCAAGGCTGACAGTTCAAACCTACCCAGTGATTCTGTGTAAGAAAAGCCTAATAATCTGTTTCCATCGGATTTTAACCAAGAATGGTGTAATTTGTTGTTAAATGGTGTTACTCTTCACGGGAATGAACTTGGCTGTAGCTAACAAGAGTGTAAGCTGTAGTTTTAGAGTTCTTCCTCCTCCTCCCCCTCCTCCTCCTCCTTCCCCTCCCTCTCCTCCTCCCCCTCCTCCTCCTCATTGCCATGGAGTCAGAACAGACTTTCCATTGCGTTTCTGAGGCTGGTGATCTGTTGTTTCCCGGTCTGTCTGATTTGTGCTCCACTCAAGCACACCTTTCAGCAACAACATGCTAGTTGAGGTTTCCAGGTGTTAGGACACCTGATGACGGTTCTCCTGTGGTGGGCGTTGATGCTTCAGATGGGCTCAGCCTTTTGTTAACAGCACAACAGCCCCCCCAAGAGCTCTCCACTTAGAGGGTACTGGTGATATTTCACTAAATGCCTAGCTCTCATTTTCATTCTTTCCAATTGACAATGGCAACTCAAAAGGTTAGACGGGAAGTTGAAAGGATGGTGAGTTCATTCTCATGGGAAGGGAGAGTCATTTGGAAAAGGAAAAGCACGGCTCCACAACATGCAGGGCTTCCAAACATGCGTCAATTGTAGATGTGGAAAGGGCTGACCAGATGAATGTTACAACAACTACAGAAAAGAATTCTTTTCAGTGCCTGGCTCGTGTTCTACTCCCCATCTCCTGTTTCATCTCACTGTGTGTCGTTCCTGCAGACTAAATGAGTGTCATCTGACCAGTGGCTGTTGTGAGGACCTGGCCTCCGTTCTCACCAGGAGTAAAACTCTGAAAAGGCTGAACCTGACTGAGAACACATTGGACCATGCTGGGGTGGTGGTGCTGTGTGAGGCCTTGAAGGACCCCAACTGCATCCTGACAGTTCTTGAGTAAGTGGTCCCTGATCTCTTCCTTGAGGGGAGAGTCCTCTCCTCTGAGCTAAGAAGGGCCATTGGGGTGGACTTGTGCAGCGTGCAGTCTGACTGGATTTCATTTACCACCAGATGGTGTTTCATGTCTCAGAGTTGCTGCAGGAATGGTAATCTGAGGATAAGGCAAGAGGTCTGGTGGCTCAGTGAATAAAGAAGTTGTCTGCTAACCAGGGTCGTAGGTTCGAACCCATCACTTGTTCCATGGGGGAAAGAGGAAGTCTGTTTCCCAAAAGATGATATCCTTGGAAACTCAGCAGGGGAGACTCACACTGTCCCAGATCACTGGGAGCTGGTCACTCACTCGGCTGGAACTGGCGGGGGGGGGGGTGGCCAGTACATAATGTTTACTATAATACAAGACTCCCCAGCGGTCCAGCACTACGACAGGTGACAGACCCTGACAATCTGTTTCCGTAAAGATTTCAGCCACGAAAACTCCAAGAGGCAGTTGTGCTCTGTCATAGGAATTTCTAGAAGTTGAAATTCCGTCAATGGCACCTAAAAACCTTGTTACAATGAGCTCTGGTGGCCTAGTGGCAAGAAGCTGCACTGCAATCCCAGAAGTGTGCGGTTCAAATCCACCAGATGCTTTGCTGGAGAAGGAGGGACAATCTCCCCCTGTACCAGTCAAATCTGATTTGATGGTACACACACAAATAATAAAAATAAAATTAAAACTTTTTAAAGAAAAAAATATAGTCTTAAAAAAAAACCTTGTTACAAGGTTTGGTTAAAATAGAAGTAATGTGTTTGGATTATTAGAAATCATTTTATTTGATAGTTTTTATCTCCTTTCCTTTTTTTCCCCCTAGCCCAGACACTCAAATAACAGACATTCTAATATTTCTCTTTTCAAAAATATAACAGCTTCAGTTCTTTCTCCCTGGCTGCTTCTGCTGAGTTTTGGTCCCAAAGCACGATGCTTCTGTGTAATGTCTGAGCTTTCCCTCCAGTGTTGCACTTACACTGTCCATTGGCAGGTTGGAAGTAGCACCTTGAAGCTGGTGGGAGCCAATTCTATGTCTGTTGCCACAATCCTACGTTTGTTTGTTTGTTTGTTTGTTTGTTTAAACTGCCTTTGAGTCAAGTCCTCCTCTGTGCTCCCAGGAGCCCACCAAGGCAAGGCTGAACTGCATTCCAGGGTTTCTGCAGCTGGGGTCTTTCCAGAAGCGGATTGCAGGGTCTGTCTCTCATGGAGCAGCTGATGGGTTGGAACCGTCAACTTTTGGGTTAGCAACTTAGCACTCTAACCCCTGTGTCACCAGGGCTACGTACTCTGTTCTGTGTGATTAGTCGGATCTAAGTCACAGCGATCCTGTGAAACAGCCCCCAGCCCTAGGTCACCCTCACAGTTCTTGCCACGCTTGACCTCAGAGCCACCATCTCAGCTCTTCTCCATGAGTCTTTTTTTCACTGACCCTTGACTTTTCCAAGAACAATGCCCTTTTCCAGGAGTGGGGCCCCTCATATCATGTCCAAAGTGTGGGAATCTTGCTGTCTCCACTTCCAGAAAGTCCCCTGGGTGCACTTTGTCCAACACATGGTGGCTCAGTCCCCAGCCAGTCTATACAGTACTTCAACACACTTTGCTAACACCGTAGAAAGCATCAATTCTGTGAACTTCTTCCCTTCGCTACTTTATCCAGTTTCCGAGTCTCTGACACTCATTAGGTTCTTTCTTTCATGGCTGTTGAATGACGCTTTTTTTTTTTCACGTATGTTGGCCCTGATGTCATCCCATAAATTGTCTGGCCTTTATTTATTCTTGAGATGACGTTTGAATTCAGGTGTCATAGATGCAAGGTTTTCATTGGATCTTGTGAACTTTTCGTTTCCTTCTGCTTCAACTTGAATTTGCATCTGATCAATTAATGGTTTTGTTCACAGTTGAGATCTGACCTTGCTCTGCATGATGGTAATAATCTTCTCTGCTGTCTCTTTCTGCAGATGTGGTTGGTTTTCTTTTATTCCGACAAGATCCACATGCACAGGTTGCTAGCTCTTTTTTAGAGCATGGAGATTTCCAGTGAATTAGTCATGTCAAGGCTGTTACTGCTCTGAGCCATTGGGTCAGAACTGACTTCGAGGGTTGTAAAGGCTGAAAGTCAGACAGGGGAAGACTGACCACATTTCTCCCATAGAGAAGCTGGTGGATTTGAACTGAGAGTCTGAGATGACAGCACAACTCTTACCACTAAGCCATCAGAGCTCTCTGAATTAGTCATTGATCTTCCAAAACTCTGTCACATGATCTCCATCCTCCTTTCTGTCACCAAAGTCCTATTTTCCAACTCACGATGCTTTGTTTCCAGCTTTCTCATTCCAATCACCAGTAATTAGCAATACCTCTTGAATGTGTGCTTGATCAATTTAAGTCTACAGAAGTTGTTTACAACCGTTTTCGTCACCTTTGGCACTACTGATGGGTGCATAAATGGAAATTGTCAGGGGAGCTCTGGTGGCCTAGTGGTAAGGAGCTGCAACTACAATCGCAGAGGCGCATGGTTCAAATCCACCAGATGCTCTGCCGGGGAAGGAGGGTCAATCTCCTCCTGTACCAGTCAGATCTGATTTGACGGTACACTCACACAAAAATAATAAAATAAAAAAATTTAAAAAATTGAACTTGTCTTAGTAACAAGTCTTCCTTGTAAGTCTATTGATATTATCCTGTCACAGATAGTATTATACTTCAAAACTAGATCTTGAAATGTTCTTTTTTGATGATGAATACCATTCCTCTCCTATTTGACGTATCCAGAATAGTAGATCATATGACTATCTGGTGACCCAGTGGCAAGAAGCTGTGCTGCGATCCTGAAGGCACATGGTTCTAGGCCATCAGGTGCTCCGTGGGAGGACGGGCAGTCTCCTCTCGTGTGAGTAACCACCTCTGGAGACTTACCAGAGGGTCAGCTGTGGGTCAGTTCTGATACTCTACGGTACAACAACAGCAACATGACTGTCCAATTCAAAATGACCAGTACCTGTCCATTTCCAGAGACTAAAGCCAAAGGTATCTATCTCCAAACACTTCATTTCCTTTTTAGGACTTTCTGTTTCCCTAGATTTCTATGTTTTCCTAGCCTGGACATTAAATGTTCCAAATATTGATGGCGTTTGCAGCTGTCTTCTTCTTGTGTTTAAGCCATGCCACATCATCAAATGAAGGTCCCATGATCTTGACTTCGTCATTCAGGCTGACTGCTCTGAGGCGGAAATGCTTCTCTGGGCTGAATCTCAGCACCTTCCCACCTGAGGCACTAGTCCTCCCAGCGCTCTATCAGACAATGTTCTGCAAACGTAAATGTTATTCACTGCTCAGTTCTAGAAGCGAATCATCAAATCCTTCCCTCTAACCTTTCTTATTCTACAAGTTTTGTTGTAACCGGTTCACCATGGACAGCCCTGCTGCCCTTTGAAATGCCAGTGGTCTAGCTTCCAGTTTAGTCACAGGGATAAATAAACCACCACAGAATGAGCTGGTAAAAGATCGGCAAACCCGAGGGCTGGTGACATTTAACAGTCAGCTTGAAATCATTTAACGTGGCTGGATAATGTGAACCACATAAACAGGTGCCACAGGCTGGAGCCTCTGTTGCTTGTTCCCTGCCCCTTCTCCTTTCTCTCTGCCTCTCTTCACCCTCCTCCTCCTTCACGTCCTTCCAGGCCTCCTTCCCAGTCCTCACTTTCATTCCTGTTCCCCTCTTCCTCCAGAGTTCAGGGCTCACATTTCTGAACACACTGTCACACACGGTAGACAGGACTTCCCCCTTGGAGGGGACAGACACTTGGGTCTCCTAGACTTGCCTTCAGAAGACACAATGGAGAAAGATAAGGACTAAGGAGGTTATTTTTAAAAGTGTGAATTGAAGGGTGTTCTGGTGGCCTAGTGGCAAGACACTGCACTGCAATCCCAGAGGTACGCGGTTCAAATCCACCAGATGCTCTGCTGGAGAAGGAGGGGGCAATCTCCTCCTGTACCAGTCAGATCTGATTTGATGGTACATGTAAAAAAATAATACAATAAAAATAAAAAAGTAAAATTGAACAAATCTTCCTTTCTATTTTCCAGGCTGGAAAAAGCCAAATTTGGCGAGGAAACCCAGAAACTCCTTCTGCTGACTGAGGATGAGAGAAAGCCCTCCTTGGTCATCACAGCTAATTACTGAGCCAGGGGCCGAGTTACCGGGAGAGCGGTGTTGCGGTGGGAAGGCTGGACTTCTCCTGGCTCAAGAGAAGGCACAGAGAACAAGAATCGGGACTCTTCCGTGTTCCTACTCTCCACCAGGAATCTCAGTCCTCAATACGCATGTGGTCTGTAAGATTTGTTTTTTTCTAGCACTGTCTTCAGATGTGTTTTATATCATAGATGTTTGTGTGTTTTTAATTCTTGGCTATTGGCTCACCTTCCTGGGAAATTTTCTATTCTGTCCCACATGGCTTTTCAAGTATTTAATAAAGTAATATATTCTAACACTCTTAAAAAAGTGTGGACAAGGGTTTGTAAGGTGAGTCAGCAGGGTTTATTACTAAAAGGGAGTGAGTAAACTGGGAAAAGAAAACCAGGTATTTTTTTGGAATTGAATTGAAAAGACGCAGAAAGCACTAGACATGTGAGCATAGCATCATCTCCTACACTTCCTCCTGTCTGTCTAAGGTTCTAACTCGAGCTACATCTCTTTTCCTGACTAATTAAAGCAGCCTAGAAATGCATTTTTCAGTTCCAAAAAGTGCAAAGCCCTCATTCCCTCTACCTGACTTTATAGATAAAAGTGACAGTGTGTTTGCTAAAGACCATCTCATTCAGCAAAACCTCAGAAGCAGCCCTGTCACTAGATTATGATCCGTAGTAGAAGGTTGTGCATTGCATTACACATACGTTAGAGTGACCAGTGCAATAGTTCATATACAATATCCCTTTCTAGCCCCATCGTATCCTTGAGTGACACAGCTTA